ATGCTTCTGTGTTTATATTTTATTTAATCTGTAATAGAAGTAAAAGTTGTTTTGTGATTTGTGATTTGATTAATTTTTAACAACCACTTCTACATTGATTAATTATTAATTAATCAAAAATGACATGGGCAGAAGTAATAAAAAATAAAAATAAAACTGTAGTTATGAACAGAAGGGTAGATGAAGGTTGATTTAAGCAATGAGAGTTTGAATGTTGAGTTATGAAATCAGAAGATCTTTAACGCACTTATAAACTTTGTCGAGTCAGCAAAGGCTCTGGACCTGCAACACGACAATGAGTAAGAACATCGTCATCTAGTTCAACATGTGTATTAGGTATAGCTACTTGTGTGTATTTGAGTTACAACTCTATCTGCCAAGCAGTATTTCCTGTAAACCTAATTATAATATTCACCATTTTGATATCAAGAATGTTAATTTTATGGTACTAAGCCATGTAATGTCTACTTTGTGTTAAGGAACTTATAGTTGCGTTTTTATGTACGGACCTAAAAATCTGTGCCTCTCTTGTTTTCTTTTGTAAATATTATTTCCATATGTAACCCGTTTTATGTTTTAAATAATGTTCCCGCTGCGGCTCTTGACCTCCCCTTCCACTTCTCACCTCTCTTCCGCTTTCCACCCACCTTCGGCCCTGCCACAACAGACTTTCCCTCCAACTAACCCTTCTCACTTCTTTTCATCTCTTTGAGGATATACCACTGAGTAATGCCTCCTATCCCCCTATAAATATTGAAATATTGAGTTATGAAAATGATTTGCTAGTCTCTTCAAGGAATGGGAAATGTGTTTGGTATTCTTGCATTTATAATGTCATTTATGATTTAAGTGATTAATAAAAATCAATATAGGGATTTATCTGCTCTGTAGTTATCAAGTAGGTATAATTTTTTGAGCATTTTTCAATAAATGATTTATAAAAAATTACACTTAAGCCACCACAAAGTTGTTAAGATCATAAATGCAAGAATACTGAATATCTTCCTATACTTTAAAGTGGCCAGAAAATTGCCTTTTTAACATGAACTTTTGTCACATAAACACTGTTGTCATAACTGTTCTAAATTTCTTTTTAACATTACTTGTTGAATGAATGAATAACTCATAAAGTGTTTATGGTTTCTTGGTATCTTAAAAATATTTCCTGTAACTTTTGACTAAATTTTAGAAAGGTATTTCAGAATATGTCAAGCAGCATTTGTTAGTTTTTGTTTATACAACTGAAATATGTAAACCAGAATCACCTGGAATTAGTGCAAACATTTATAAAGTATTTATAAATTATATTTAAATAGTTTCTGAGAAAACACTTCTTGCATAAATGAGTCATAAAAATTAGTTGAATTAAAATTAATGTTTTATATAAATACATAAATACGGTATTATTTGTTAAATTAATTTTTCTATATTATTACGTTTTTCTACATAAAAAATCCAGTGAGTTGTATAACTTTCTCAGTGAAAAATATTTGTTTAGGAAACACATTAGCAAAGTTTAAAATAGTATTTAGCACTATCCATTAAGAGATTTAAGATTTTTTTTTTAGGTTAGAGATGAGTTTATAAAAATATTGTAAATGCCAGTAATGATTAGAATATTCATTAAGTCTAACCCCATCCAGATATGACACATGAAGCTCTCTTGCCTACCCTCTTGAACATTAACTATCAAAATTTAAAAGTATCAATGCCCCTTATATACAAATTACCACACCAAATTTTGTTACATAATCTTTATCCCATCCTGAGATATTAAACAAAATTGATGCTCGTGTACACACACACACATTATATATATACAGCAGGGCTGCGGAGTCAGTAAAAAACACTCGACTCCATATCTGACTCCTGATAATTTTAGTAAGCCTACTCTAGCAAAATTAAATACCAAGTCATTTTATGGGGGCATAGGTGCTCATGGGGTGTGTACCTTACTCTGAACTCTGATAGGAGCCTGGGGCAGGGTGTTTACCCAAATACTTTTATAGTTAGTATTTTTAATATTTTACTTAAATTAATATTTATTTGTATAAAAAAAATTAATTTTTAACAAATACTTAATAAGAGGAGAAAAGGGGTGATAAAATTCTACATCTACATATATTCAACATTTGCACTTCAATTTCACCCTTCCAGAAGAGTTAGTCCAACTAAACAGTGTGTGATTTAGCTAGCTACTTCAGCCTCTTGTTCAGAAAAGAAAAATTTGTATTCTGATCAATTAGTCTGGCTCATTCAGAAAAATAGAGTACTTATTTAGAGCAGGGATAATAAAGGAATAATTCAAAAATATTCAAATTCAATTGGGTCAAAATAATACAGTGAGTGATCGGTTAACGAACATAATCTTTTCCAAGGCTTTGTTTGCTATCCAAATTGTTCGTTAATTGATTATAATTATTGATTTACCATATGTTTTTATGGGAATATGATTAATTCATTCTGGAGACCACCAAAAATAAAAAAATATATACTTTCTTACTATGTTTATACATTCTTGCATATATACATATGCATATATATACATATATACAGTCTTGCATTTTTATTAGTCATGTTTTTTTCTGTTTGTGGGGGTTAAAGAATCTGTCTAATGTCGATTGCTTTTCTATCTTCTTCAGGATTTTTCAGAAGTAATTAATTAATAGTATTTTAATTGTAGAGATCCCTAAGCCTATTAAACTCAACCTAGTTTGGATGCTATTTTAAGACCGTTGTTCTGACATCCTCCTACTTCTTCAAAAAAAATGTTTAATAGCAGATATTGACATTAATTCTTTTTTTCAGAAGAAAACATATCTCACCAAGTTTCTTGGTATTCTTCTGTCATCAGATCCGTTTCAGGTTCCATTATGAGCTCTTTAATGTTCTTTATTTCTCATAAGGAGACCCTACAGCTTTGGGGAAACGGATTTTGATGATCTTTGGTGTAGAGGTAGTACACCATGTGAGTGTACTACCTGTAAAATACTAAAATGCAACATTCAAATATATTTGAGAAAAACGAACTTAAAGTTTTTTTTAGCACTTTATATATAAGTTTTTTGTATACTTCTGCTTGAGTGTCCTGTGGCTGATTGGTAACACTCCTGACTTGTACGCTTGAGTGCTTGGGTTCAATTCCCTTCTGTATACTTTTTTCCTTTTTTTTTTTTTAATTCATTAATACTTATAAAGTATTTATTTATTTACTCATTCATTTATTTCTTATTATTTAATTTAATTTCTACTATTCCAAGTCTAATATTTTTACTTTTGTTGACAATAATATTATGAGCATTTACTTTTCGAAAATAATTTAATTGCAACAATTATAAATTTTTTTCATTCAACACATCCAATGTATTATTGTATAATTCTGTGTCTATCAGCATAGCATTTTCAGATAGTTTATCAGAAGATGTTGTTGCAATTAAATTATTTTCAAAAAGTAAACGCTCATAATACACTACTACATCTTTTAGCTGCTGCNTGTGTGTGTGTGTGTGTGTGTGAGACTGTGTGACTGTAGACACAATCTAATGCAGCTCAGTAAAACATGAAATTACTTGTAATGTATTAAAAGGTTGGTTCCTAATTTCATGTCTGTAAAATCTGATAGAAATCTTTATTCTAATATTAAAAAAAATATGAAAAATGAGATAATTCTATATCCATTACAGCAAACTATAAAAAACTTGATGCAATTAACATGAATTTACTTATAATGTATATTAATTTTTTACTTTATCATCCACATTATATTGAATCTTTTTCTTGCACATTTTTACTGCTTATAATAACTCACTTATGGAACTTAATTGCTAAACCATATGAAAAACAAAAATGAAACTTTTAATATAGCAGGGAATTAAATTACCATAAAACAAATGGTTTGGACAAATCTTCAGTAGCCATGCTTGGGTTCAGATCAGTTCTGATTCATAGCATAAAGATGAATATTGAAGGTAGTGAGAAACATAACCTAATTCTCAGCCAAATATTAAAAGTTTTGTTTTAAGTCTGGTTATTCAATTTTTAACTTTTCTATCTTCAAACCTTATATTTGTAAAAGATTGAATAAATCATTTTATGAATTAATAAAATTAAATAACTGCAAAAATATTACTAATTTAATAAAAGTAATTAAAGTTTCATAGAACAATAATTTTCACAATTTTATTTATATTATTTCATTATGGAAAACCATTCTAGTGAGTAGGAAATTAAATGATATGAAAAAGTTTCACCAAATTTAATTTATTTCTTACAGCTGCACAAATTGTCAATTAGAACTCTGTTGTTTTGAACTCAGCACAACCAAAGAAGAAGGTCGACAGTTTTTATTTGGTGCTAGGTTGCCTTCAGAACGTCAGGAATGGTTAAAATATATTTATAAAGCAATGTCACCTCTCTCCTGCCACATAGAAGAATGGTTTATTGATTTTAAGCATGCAGGTTTTGTATATCTGAAAGAGGGCACTGCTGGTCATTGGCAGACAGCATGGATTGTGCTTAAAGGACGTAATTTACTAGTTAGCCAGCTTGAAATAAATGTAATAGAAGTAGTTGATTTAAGAAAATCCATGGGTGTAGGTAAGAAAATAAAGAAACCATTTAAAATGATTTATTTTAAATTTTAGTACAAGTAAAATACTAAATAATTATCATAGATAATTACACATCATTGTGAATCCACATCATTGCATAATATTAAGAATATTAAACATTATCAGCATTAAAATCTTTCTATTTACTTGTTTTTAAGGTTAGGCATTTATTATCATTATTATTACAGTAAAAGCTCAATAAAATGGACTTCATGTTATTACAGAGCTGATTTTGGTCTGGCCAAAAGTATAGGCAAATTATAAGAACACTCATTTGTGTAACAGGTTCCTGCTACCACAGACTATTTTTCAGGTGTGCAGATCACTGTTATTATGCCCTTTTATTTCATCATAGTCATCATTTTATTTACTTTATTTACAAAAAATAATATAAAAGTCATTTCATAATAATTTTTTAGCATAGATTTTTACATTACTTTTAGTTTTTGTTTCATTTTCTGATTGACTATTTTTGTTCAGTTTTGGCTTCATTTTCTCTATGAGTGATGAGCATTAGATTTGTTTTGTAAAGCAAAGCCACAGATCATAAAAGAAAAGAAAAAGCTTTAGATTTAACACAAAAAATAGATATAATTTATCAGATTGAAGATTGAAAATCTTAAGCTGAAGTTGGTAAAGAAATGTCTTTGAATAAGCAGACAATTTCAGATATTTGGAAAACAAGAGAAAAACTAAACTGACTTTTCTTAAAACAATTCTTTAAAAAAAATGAATAAAAGTATTATTTTAATAAGTTTAATAAAAATCTAGTTTATACACTTTACAACTGAAACTTTGTCTATTATGTAATTGACTTTTATCCACACTATTGATATAGGCCTACAGTAATGTACTACAGATCAATATTACTATATACAATAGAATCCCCTTATATTCATGATAACAGATCTGCTGAAATGAATTGGTGTCTTGGCCTGGAGAAAACATCTGAAAACTGCATATGTGTTTTCCAGGTCTATTATCAAGATTTGTTCTAACATGATTCTACTGTATAGTAATGGACTCTTTAATATAGCAGACAAGTCTGTAACAAGTAATCACAATAAAACAGACTTTCATTACAATGGACCAATGTCTTCAGTCCCATGATAGTCCAAATTCAAGCTTTTACTGTATTATATTGGGTTGAATGGAAAGTTTCTGCATTTTTGAGAAAAAAACACAAGATGATTTTAAAATAATATCAGGTAACCAAATAAATAAATGTCATTTTTGAAATGTGAATAAGATGCTTATATTTTTTGTCTAAAGTAATTTTATTTATAAAGATATTCACCTTCACATTCATTATACTTTCTCAACAGGAGGGCAGTTTGAAAATGCCTTTATATATATATATATATGATTTGAATGACTCCAAAAAAATCTTAGTGTTTGGTGGACTTCGAGGAATATTGTTCATCCTGAGTACTTGAATGTTGGTCGAACCCTCACAGCAGATTTGTACATTGAGCAGCTACAAAGAGTATGTGGCAGATTAAGGTTAAAACATCTGTCTTTGGCGACTCATTAAGGTGTTTGTTTTTACAAGAAAACACTCGCACACACATTGCAGAAATTAAAGAAACAAAATAATACATTTGGGATAGGAACTTTTACCTCATCCTTCCTATTCTGCTGACTTATCTCTATTGGATTATCACATTTTTTAACTTTGGATAATCATATGCATGGAAAACAATTTACAAATCATGCAACTACTAATAATAATAATAATAATAATCTTTATTTGTTGTAAAAGGCTTTCGCCTGTTACAAGGGCGTTTTCTTTTGAAAAACGCGTATTAATTTAACATCTCATATATTCTGTTCTCATCAACACTGATATATTCTATTTACTAATCTATAATTTACATTAACATTTTTTTTTTTTCCACAATTATCATTTAATAAATTGTTTAACATAGTTATATAACATGTAAATCGTGTTAGTATTAGCTCTGTCAAAAATCTTAAACATTTCCCTTTCACTATTACATTTAGCCAGCGGTCCCATCTGGAGCCTTTGTAATTTATCTTTTTCATTACAGCATTCACATATAATATGAACTCTAGATAACATTTTGGTACATTTTGGACATTTAGTTTGGGTATAGTCTATATATTTATCATTTATAATTATTCCATTTTTATTTAGCCTAATCTGTATAAAATACTTTTTGATGTTAAATAAGTTTTTCATGTTAAATCATGCAACTATAAAAGAGGAAATAACTCATTTTTAATGCTAAAAATGGTATTTTCAAACTGTGAAACCATTGAGAAAATGTACCTAAATTTGAAGGTGACTATTTTGATGAATAAAATTATTTTAAACAAAAAATACAAGTATTTTTATTCACATTTCAAAAAACAACATTATTTATTTGATTATCTGATATATTCATTATCAAAAATGTTATTTTCATCATTTGTAATTATCTTCTTCTAACATTCCACAAATTTATTGATTTCATTTGCATAAAACACTTTTTGGATTTGATTCAAAAATTGGTTATATATCTGATAAAATGGTAAGGATAGTAAGTACAGTGAAGTTCTAATATATGATTTTTCTTTATTTTAATTCATAAAAATACAAACTGAAACTGAATACAAATGAAGAAAGCTGTATAGTAGACATGTTATATTTTTTTATTTAAAATTTTACATAATATAATATATTTTAAATTATAAAAAATCAAAATGAAGTAATAGAAAGTCATAAATTATTAATATATACACTATGTATATTAGTTGAAATGAAATCAAAAATTATTTATTAATGATATTTTAAAAAATGCTTGTTTATAGTCAAGTTAACAAATACTAATCAAGGATGCCCATCAGTATCATCAAGTGGTCCGTTATTTCATATAGACTTGCCTCAAAAAGCTTTTTATATACAAGGATATTGGCCTATCCATACAGAATCATGGTATCAAGTGATACATCAAGCTTGGACTTTACCATCGGAAAGTTATTTAACTGATCATTATATGACACAAGAAAATGTTCCTGTAATAATAGATAAGTGCCTGAATTTCATAAGTACACATGGTTAGTACAGACTTTTCATAATTGTTAAATTTTTTTTTTTTTAATTAAAATTAATTATCATAACTTTTTATTAACAATTGCAAATCATTTTTAAAAGAAATACTATAAACTAATACAAACTGCATCAATTCATTTTGGCTTCAGTAGCCTAAAATAGATAAAATTATGATCAATTATAAGAAAAAAAATGTTAATTGTAATTTATCTGTTATCTAAACATATTTCTAAAAAGTTTATGCAATGTATAATTTTAAATATTTTCAGGGACTACAGTACAAGGAATATATAGGATTGCTGGTTCTTCATCAAAAGTGAGAAAATTATTAGAATGTCTCAGACAAAGTAAGTTTACTTAATAAATAATAAAGTAATTAAAAAGTATTGCGACATTAACTTAATAAATAATAAAGTAATTAAAAAGTATTGCGACATTAACTTTCTATACTTGAACATATATATACAATGAACTCTTTTTAATTCTAACACCAGAAAATCAAGAAAATTTTCAGTTGTCTGTTTTTGAAAATTAAACTAGTTTTCTGCAAGTTTATAGGTTAAACAGTATTCCACATTGTTTGGAAATACTACATTTTCTCATTATCTTTTCTAATCACTTGAAAATTTGAATAAAGTATTAATTTTTGCACTTTTCATGCTTAGACATGGTAAAAATACAGCTAAAACAATTCTACTGTCTAGTCTCAAATGTCATTAAAATTGTGAAACACAAAACAATTTTACTCAAATCCCAAAATTTTACAGAATACATGCATTTTGCAAAATTCCTGAAACCCACATATTCTTTAAACCAGTAGACCACGTGCTGTTTTTCTTTTCAAGTTTCATATTTGAAGTAGATGTACTAGCTTTCACATAAGCATTTGTTATGCTAATTAAAATATGAAAGTCAAATGGGATAACTGTAAGTTCAAATTATCCAATAATTTAAATTGTATGCATATCTAATTAATGATTTTTTTAATATAAATTGATAGAACAACAAAATTTCTTGGATGGATGATTTATTTTTGTTATGTTTCTTTTTAAATTAAATAAGTTTCACTGTTTGAATAAGTTCTTCATAAATAATTCTAGAAAAATTAAATTAACATATTTAAAATCCTAAAACTGAATGTAATGAAGTTTTAATAAGAAGTAATCATTCTATTGATAAGACCTGTAGTTTATTTAAATTTATATTTAATGAAAAATCAAGCATGATTTTGAAAGCATTTTTCTGTTTTTAATCATTTTTCATTTTAAAAGTTTCATATACATTTCATATTTTTCAAATATAATTTTGTTAGCAAAGTTCTTTGATTATGTATTGTTGCTATTAATTAATGCATCTAAATAGCTTTATTTTTTATATTTAATGGTTCTTAATTGGCATTATTATACTTTTGAAAAATAATAAAATAAAATTATCTTAATGAATTAAATATTTTTTCATATTTAATTCATTAAGATGATTTTTCTTTTTTCTATGTGTTGTTGAAGCAGAGCATTAGTGAAGCTTCTTCTATGAGGCTTACAGAATCATGTTTGTTCTCAAAATCTGTTTGATAGATTTTGATTAAACTTTGACATTTTTCATCAATTGTGATGTAGAATCCAAAAAATGCAATAAAAAATTGGGTCCAATTGGATCCAAAAAATGCAATAAAAAAAATAAAAAATGACTTCATTTTCGAGATATAAGGTCATTTCACAAGCACACACAACAAAGTGATATCACACAAATCATGTGAAATGTTTTACAGTCATTAGCATGTCTTGTAAGGGCTTATAGAATCAAGTTCATTTCAAAATTTAATGGATTGATTTTGATAAAACTTTGCCATTTTCCATTAATTGAGACAAGGAATCCAGAAATGCAATGTGGGTCCATTTAAATGAAAGAAGTCCAGCAACAAATCGCTTAACTTTCCTGGCAACATTTAAAATTCTGGTGGTGCTATCTGTTAGAATATTTCATTTAAAAAACTGTTTACATTTTTAATTATTATAAAATGCAAAAAGATTAATTTTGAGAGTAGGGATAGGTTTTATAAAAAATTATAAATGCTAATAATGAGTAAAATCATCATTAAGTTCAATCCTGCTCAAGATATGACACATGACCACCCTTTATCTCCCCACTCTGTTGACCTTAAACACCAAAATTTAATAGCATGATTCTCTCTGATACACAAACCTTCCTGCAAAATTTTAAACATTTTTGAAAGCACAGGTGTTATTAAGCTTCAAAGAGAGTAAACAAACTTGTGCCACACGCAAACATTAACATCCATACAAAGAGAAAAAACTTTGAATTGTTTTGCATTTCCCAATGTTTCATGGTCTCCTAAGTCCAAATATGTAAAAATCTTGTTTTTTGACTGATCACCATACTTTCTCTCTGTTATCTATAACAGAGTCAGGAAAGTAAAAATAGGAGTCAATGACTTTGTTTTTAATATTACAGTATTAGTATATATCCTTGCTCTCTGATGCAACGAGTGCACCTAACAGAATTTAGGCCTAGGGGTCAAAAATAAAAACAGTATTACGTGTGCCTAATGGAAAATAGGTGTGAAAAACAAACAAAACACAAGAACAAAGCAATCACCATTAATTGCTTTGTTCTTGGATCATCTCTCCATATCTGGCCATTGCATGGATTATGTCTGCCATGGCCTGCAGATACAAGGATAGTTTTTTTTGTAGCAGCAAGTGCAAAATTTACCTGTCTGCATCTGTCAAGTACTGTACAAGGATTGCCTCTTCTGTGCCTAACAGGTGCAGGGATCACTTCTTTCTCTCTGATTTTGCCTCAATTCTATTGCAATATGACAAAGTCATGGAATGTTCTAATATTATAGCTAAAATTCAATAAATTTCATAAAAGCTGTTCTAGTTACAGCATTTGGCACTTGTACCAAACTGATATGGTTATTACAAAAATGCAATTAGCATAACATTGCATTTTCATAACATCCATAATAGTAATCCCATTTCAATTGAAAACAATTTTATCACATTGTTTTCAACTGAATAACTTTTCTTATTCTAACATTAAATCACTTTGTTATAAATTTGGTAATCTTTTTTATTTTTTGTAAAATAAATATTTATCTTCTCTTTAAAACAGACGCATGGAATGTCCATATAAAATCAGATGAATATTCTCCACATGATGTGACAAGTGTTCTAAAAAGATTTCTAAGAGAATTGCCAGAATGCATAATGAAAGAAAAATTATATCTTCTATGGGTCAGAGCTAGTGGTAAGTTATCAATTTGTCTTATGTGATTATAAAATTAGTTATATTCTATACAGTCAATTGCACTATCAAATTTATTTTAGAAATAGATCATCGGGATGAGAGGTTAGAAACATACAAATCATTGTTAAAACAATTACCTGATGAACACTACCAAACCCTCAAAAAATTAATAGGACATTTATTTAGGTTTGTTTTAAATAAATATTTTATTTATTTTTTTATATTTTATTTTGTTTTTTATTTTCTAATATTCCTATGTTGTCCAAATATTTTTGATATAGTATCAGGGAACATGAAGATAAAAATATGATGCCTTCAATGAATTTAGCACCTATTTTTGGTCCTACTTTGTTATATAGTAATTTGGGCAATTCTCATGGATTTAATCAAACTAATGCCATGATGGATGTTGTTTCAGATTTCATTACACATTATACTTGGCTTTTTGAGGTCTGTTTTGGTAGTTTTATGTTTTTAAATTTTATTTTATTTTGTATTAGATGTTAAAAACAATGACTGCAAGAAGAAATAATTTGCATTATAACAGAATTCATTTTAATAGTTTTAATCTAGGAATTAAAGAAGTAATAGTTTTTTGTTCATGCAATAAATTCAATTTAATAGATTGATCCTAGAGAATTAGAAAAGGAGAAGGCAATTCAACAAGCTTTACAGCTTTTAAGAGAAGCAAAAATTGCTCAGGTATTATTTATATTTATGAAGAAAAACATATAATAAGATTTTCTGTAATGATGAAAATGTTAAATTGATTATTTTGATACTCAGCGTCCTGCTGGTGATATTTTAGTTGGTGTGTATATTTATAACAAAGAATGGGGAAAATGTTTGAATGTCAGGGTAAGTAATATCTGCATAATAAATCTTTACCTGTATGAAATGAATTGTTAATATCATGTTTATGAATTTAACATAATCATTTATTTGGCATAAATAGTCAATTTAATTTAGGTTTTTTTTAAATATCATACACAAATTTTCTGATACAAATATAAACATCAGTTAACCCAATTTCTTCCAGAACCTTCTAAATAATTAATTTAATTATAATTATTAAATTTATCAAGAGATGGTGCCTAATGCCTATCTCTAATCTTGCAGTTTGGCATTAAATTTTCTAATTGAATCAATTTAGGTCATATTTCAAATTGAAGAAATTAAGAATTTAAATATAAAACGTAATTTTTCTATAAGAATATTTTATATTTGAGAGTTTGTGTTATTACTATTGTTGTATTTGCATAAACATATTCAAAATAGCATATTTTTTAAAAAGTAATGATTAACAGCTCAGCACACTTCATACCAGTATTATTCTGAAACCATTAAAAAGAAAATAGTATAGAATAATATTTCTGTGCTGTTTCCATTTTCAAAGTAACTATTATTTTATTTAATTACAGAAAAACAAAAGAAAATGTAATTAAATAAAATAATAATTATTTAAAATATACTTCTCTATACAGATGATCTAAGAAATTTTTGTGTATATTTCTTGTATATTAAAATACATCAAGTAAAGTAGATTATTGCTTGTCATATATTTCATTAGCTTAAACAGTTTTATTCTTGTCATAACTTGGTGAATTTATTGACAAGTGTCAATAAATTCACCAAGTTGTGACATTGAACCAAGCAAAACAAGAAGAAGAAAACACAGTTTCGACAAATAAATAAAACCAGTTTTATTCTTATTGATGCAGAGCATTAGCAAAGCCTCTTTTATTTGGCTTACAGAATTGTGCTCATTCTCAAAATACATTTGATCAATTCTGATTAAACTTTGCCATTTTCCATTGATTGCAATGAGGAATCCAAAAATATAATAAAAAAATGGGGGTCCATGGCTTTGTTTTTGAAATATAAGGTTGTTGCATAACTTTGTCGTGCAATGTTCCACAGTCACTAGCATGCTTTCTATGGGCTTTTAGAATTGAATTCGTTCTCAAAATTTAATGGGTCAATTTTGATAAAACTTTGCTATTTATCTCTAATTATGATGAGTAACCAAACATGTAATAAGAGTTCATTTAATTGTAAAAAAATAGGAGTCTGTGACTTCATTTTTAATATACGGAGGTATTAAAGTGACAATATTTGTGCTCTCTAATGCAACTAAATGCACTTAAGAGAATTTAGGCCTATGGTCAAAAATGAAAAAAGCATTGCTTGTGCATAATGAAAAATAGGTGCAAAAAATGAACAAAACACAAGAAGAAAGCAATCAATGGCAATTGCTTTGTTCTTGGATTGCGTCTCTGTGTCAACAAATGCAAGGATCACATCCCATAGTTGGCAGGTAAAAGGATCATCTCTTTTATGGTGGAAAGTGCAAAGTTTATCTGTCCACATCCATCAGGTACTGTACAAGGAATGCCTCTTCTGTGCCTAACAGGTGCAGGGATCATTTGCCTTTTTGGCTCTGCCTCAATTCTATCGCAATACGACAAAGTCATGCAATATCCTAGTAGGTTCCATATCTAAAGAAACATAGATGTAACATGTACAATTATTTTAAACAAAAGTTTTTCTAAAATTAAATTTAACAATTTTTAAAATCTAAGACAAATTTTTCCCCATGTATATGTAACTGTTTTTACATATACATGGGAAAAAATCATAANGTCAAAATTCAGAAACAAACTGTTAAAGAGTGAGTGAAAAAGAACTCCGATAGAAAAAATTCTCCTAGTGAGAATTAGATCGGAGGTCACCATTGGTGATAACAATTAGATGGGAAAGTTGACACATAGGTGTCAAGAATGCACTGTTATTGTCAACAAAAGTAAAAATATTAGACTTGGAATAGTAGAAATTAAATTAAATAATAAGAAATAAATGAATGAGTAAATAAATAAATACATTATAAGTATTAATGAATTAAAAAAAAGGAAAAAAGTATACAGAAGGGAATCGCACTCAAGCGTACAAGTCAGGAGTGTACCAATCAGCCACAGGACACTCAAGCAGAAGTATACAAAATACTTATATATAAAGTGCTAAAAAAAACTTTAAGTTCGTTTTTCTCAAATATATTTGAGTGTTGCATTTTAGTATTTTACAGGTAGTACACTCACATGGTGTACTACCTCTACACCAAAGATCATCAAAATCCGTTTCCCCAAAGCCGTAGGGTCTCCTTGTCAGATGTGATTTTTTGTTACTCCTTTAGCTGCTTGAGTCTTCTTGATTATACAGTATCTTTCTTGGATAAGATTGAACTTCAGCCTACTGTAGACCTGTTCAAACCATACTGCCCAGCGACATCAGACATCTTCTGCTCACTCTCTACCTTTGCTATTATACTCTCACCTTTTGAAAATAAAAACCAATGCGAGTGCTTGACTGACAGTCTCGCGAATACTATAAAAGAATTGTTTCTAAACAAACATAAAAATCTTTTGCAAAAGTGTTCATTATCCAATTTGTTTGTTAACCAATCACCCACTGTATATAAATTTTCTTTCATTTAAATAAAAAAACTAAAGTAAATTTAAAATGCAGGAGTTGGAGTCGACACATTTTTTCCGACTCCAACTCCACAGCCCTGCTCAACTATACATACAGTATATATTGATACAATATGTATTTATGTAAAAATGCCAAAATTTGTCTAATCTGATTTTTGCATCTGAGAGTAATATAATTTTTAGGAAAATCGGTGAAAAAAACTTCGACAACTTTGGATTTCAGAATGCTTTTTGTGTAAGTATCTGCAATGGAGTTTCTAAGAAAAGCCATTATGAGCTTGCTGCAGTCATCGTGTTTGTGTATTGATAAATAAATATGTTGGTTGTCTTTATTTTTCGTGTATTCAGTGTACCGTATTGAACAAAATGGTTATGCGGCTCATGCTTGTCATTTTCGCAGTTATGTGGCCTGCTGTGAAAAAAGTTTGGTGACCCCTGATCTAAATCATTATTGTTAATTTTATGTTCTTGAAAAACATACATTTTTCAAGTTTGTTAACTATTGATACAATCTGAAAAATACTTTTATTGTACTAAAATACAGTATATTTCAGGTGATCATAATTAAAGTGCTTCTATACAGCACTCACTGGAGAGACATCTAACAGTTCAAATACAACCAAATCTGGTACGATGCATTTCAAAACATGGGGGATATTTCTTTAAAAAATATTGGCACCAAAACTCCCTACTGTGGCACTTTAGGCACTGCAAGGAACAGACATTTTATTTGTATAAGATGTGCATGCTATAAAGAGACTTTGGCAATGGAGGAAATATTGTTCAATCTGATCTCCATTCTGTAGGTATATGTTCAACAGCCAACAATCCTCTGTGATACTTCTCACATGCATTATGATACTGTGTTTCAAGGCTGCCAAATTGCAACAAATCCTTGATAAACTAGAGCAGTTTCTCAATGGGGGTGATATCGCCTCCCATTTTGGGGGGTGATTAGTAACAATTTATATTTTGGGGGTGAAAAACAATTTTCTATGCGATATAGTAAAACATTATATTAAGAATAATTAGATATTTTATTCGTTATATCTTACAATAATTAAACAAATAACATTATACTAGTGACTAATCTATTCAATGCAATATGAATTTGGCATTAGCCTTAGTCCTCGGCATCAGAATTTTGAAGCTTGCAGTGGGAATTCACAGTGTATAATGCTTAATTTTAATTTTGTTAATTATATCAAAATCTAATACATACTCTGAGTAAATAAATGTTTAATTTTTTACAAAGTATATAATTATCAAATAAACTAATAAACTCAACAAAATTTTTTTGAAGTGAAGTAAACTCAACTCCCAGACATTGATCATTTAGTTCAAGGAAATTAATTCTCTTCAGAGCTTGTCGAGTCAGTAGTCCTCAGCATAAATTTTTATGACAGTGAAATTCTTGAAGTGTAGCTGCAGCATTGCCATTCTTTTTAATGAAAATGTCTTCAAAATATCCTGAAATGTAATCACAGTAGATTTAGTTGCATTAGGACTGCTAAATATCTCTAAATAGTGTTAAATAAGGTATGTTAATTATGATCCTGTGTGTGTGTGTGTGTGTGTGTGTGTGAGACTGTGTGACTGTAGACACAATCTAATGCAGCTCAGTAAAACATGAAATTACTTGTAATGTATTAAAAGGTTGGTTCCTAATTTCATGTCTGTAAAATCTGATAGAAATCTTTATTCTAACATTAAAAAAAATATGAAAAATGAGATAATTCTATATCCATTACAGCAAACTATAAAAAACTTGATGCAATTAACATGAATTTACTTATAATGTATATTAATTTTTTACTTTATCATCCACATTATATTGAATCTTTTTCTTGCACATTTTTACTGCTTATAATAACTCACTTATGGAACTTAATTGCTAAACCATATGAAAAACAAAAATGAAACTTTTAATATAGCAGGGAATTAAATTACCATAAAACAAATGGTTTGGACAAATCTTCAGTAGCCATGCTTGGGTTCAGATCAGTTCTGATTCATAGCATAAAGATGAATATTGAAGGTAGTGAGAAACATAACCTAATTCTCAGCCAAATATTAAAAGTTTTGTTTTAAGTCTGGTTATTCAATTTTTAACTTTTCTATCTTCAAACCTTATATTTGTAAAAGATTGAATAAATCATTTTATGAATTAATAAAATTAAATAACTGCAAAAATATTACTAATTTAATAAAAGTAATTAAAGTTTCATAGAACAATAATTTTCACAATTTTATTTATATTATTTCATTATGGAAAACCATTCTAGTGAGTAGGAAATTAAATGATATGAAAAAGTTTCACCAAATTTAATTTATTTCTTACAGCTGCACAAATTGTCAATTAGAACTCTGTTGTTTTGAACTCAGCACAACCAAAGAAGAAGGTCGACAGTTTTTATTTGGTGCTAGGTTGCCTTCAGAACGTCAGGAATGGTTAAAATATATTTATAAAGCAATGTCACCTCTCTCCTGCCACATAGAAGAATGGTTTATTGATTTTAAGCATGCAGGTTTTGTATATCTGAAAGAGGGCACTGCTGGTCATTGGCAGACAGCATGGATTGTGCTTAAAGGACGTAATTTACTAGTTAGCCAGCTTGAAATAAATGTAATAGAAGTAGTTGATTTAAGAAAATCCATGGGTGTAGGTAAGAAAATAAAGAAACCATTTAAAATGATTTATTTTAAATTTTAGTACAAGTAAAATACTAAATAATTATCATAGATAATTACACATCATTGTGAATCCACATCATTGCATAATATTAAGAATATTAAACATTATCAGCATTAAAATCTTTCTATTTACTTGTTTTTAAGGTTAGGCATTTATTATCATTATTATTACAGTAAAAGCTCAATAAAATGGACTTCATGTTATTACAGAGCTGATTTTGGTCTGGCCAAAAGTATAGGCAAATTATAAGAACACTCATTTGTGTAACAGGTTCCTGCTACCACAGACTATTTTTCAGGTGTGCAGATCACTGTTATTATGCCCTTTTATTTCATCATAGTCATCATTTTATTTACTTTATTTACAAAAAATAATATAAAAGTCATTTCATAATAATTTTTTAGCATAGATTTTTACATTACTTTTAGTTTTTGTTTCATTTTCTGATTGACTATTTTTGTTCAGTTTTGGCTTCATTTTCTCTATGAGTGATGAGCATTAGATTTGTTTTGTAAAGCAAAGCCACAGATCATAAAAGAAAAGAAAAAGCTTTAGATTTAACACAAAAAATAGATATAATTTATCAGATTGAAGATTGAAAATCTTAAGCTGAAGTTGGTAAAGAAATGTCTTTGAATAAGCAGACAATTTCAGATATTTGGAAAACAAGAGAAAAACTAAACTGACTTTTCTTAAAACAATTCTTTAAAAAAAATGAATAAAAGTATTATTTTAATAAGTTTAATAAAAATCTAGTTTATACACTTTACAACTGAAACTTTGTCTATTATGTAATTGACTTTTATCCACACTATTGATATAGGCCTACAGTAATGTACTACAGATCAATATTACTATATACAATAGAATCCCCTTATATTCATGATAACAGATCTGCTGAAATGAATTGGTGTCTTGGCCTGGAGAAAACATCTGAAAACTGCATATGTGTTTTCCAGGTCTATTATCAAGATTTGTTCTAACATGATTCTACTGTATAGTAATGGACTCTTTAATATAGCAGACAAGTCTGTAACAAGTAATCACAATAAAACAGACTTTCATTACAATGGACCAATGTCTTCAGTCCCATGATAGTCCAAATTCAAGCTTTTACTGTATTATATTGGGTTGAATGGAAAGTTTCTGCATTTTTGAGAAAAAAACACAAGATGATTTTAAAATAATATCAGGTAACCAAATAAATAAATGTCATTTTTGAAATGTGAATAAGATGCTTATATTTTTTGTCTAAAGTAATTTTATTTATAAACATATTCACCTTCACATTCATTATACTTTCTCAACAGGAGGGCAGTTTGAAAATGCCTTTATATATATATATATATGATTTGAATGACTCCAAAAAAATCTTAGTGTTTGGTGGACTTCGAGGAATATTGTTCATCCTGAGTACTTGAATGTTGGTCGAACCCTCACAGCAGATTTGTACATTGAGCAGCTACAAAGAGTATGTGGCAGATTAAGGTTAAAACAGCTGTCTTTGGCGACTCATTAAGGTGTTTGTTTTTACAAGAAAACACTCGCACACACATTGCAGAAATTAAAGAAACAAAATAATACATTTGGGATAGGAACTTTTACCTCATCCTTCCTATTCTGCTGACTTATCTCTATTGGATTATCACATTTTTTAACTTTGGATAATCATATGCATGGAAAACAATTTACAAATCATGCAACTAATAATAATAATAATAATAATCTTTATTTGTTGTAAAAGGCTTTCGCCTGTTACAAGGGCGTTTTCTTTTGAAAAACGCGTATTAATTTAACATCTCATATATTCTGTTCTCATCAACACTGATATATTCTATTTACTAATCTATAATTTACATTAACATTTTTTTTTTTTCCACAATTATCATTTAATAAATTGTTTAACATAGTTATATAACATGTAAATCGTGTTAGTATTAGCTCTGTCAAAAATCTTAAACATTTCCCTTTCACTATTACATTTAGCCAGCGGTCCCATCTGGAGCCTTTGTAATTTATCTTTTTCATTACAGCATTCACATATAATATGAACTCTAGATAACATTTTGGTACATTTTGGACATTTAGTTTGGGTATAGTCTATATATTTATCATTTATAATTATTCCATTTTTATTTAGCCTAATCTGTATAAAATACTTTTTGATGTTAAATAAGTTTTTCATGTTAAATCATGCAACTATAAAAGAGGAAATAACTCATTTTTAATGCTAAAAATGGTATTTTCAAACTGTGAAACCATTGAGAAAATGTACCTAAATTTGAAGGTGACTATTTTGATGAATAAAATTATTTTAAACAAAAAATACAAGTATTTTTATTCACATTTCAAAAAACAACATTATTTATTTGATTATCTGATATATTCATTATCAAAAATGTTATTTTCATCATTTGTAATTATCTTCTTCTAACATTCCACAAATTTATTGATTTCATTTGCATAAAACACTTTTTGGATTTGATTCAAAAATTGGTTATATATCTGATAAAATGGTAAGGATAGTAAGTACAGTGAAGTTCTAATATATGATTTTTCTTTATTTTAATTCATAAAAATACAAACTGAAACTGAATACAAATGAAGAAAGCTGTATAGTAGACATGTTATATTTTTTTATTTAAAATTTTACATAATATAATATATTTTAAATTATAAAAAATCAAAATGAAGTAATAGAAAGTCATAAATTATTAATATATACACTATGTATATTAGTTGAAATGAAATCAAAAATTATTTATTAATGATATTTTAAAAAATGCTTGTTTATAGTCAAGTTAACAAATACTAATCAAGGATGCCCATCAGTATCATCAAGTGGTCCGTTATTTCATATAGACTTGCCTCAAAAAGCTTTTTATATACAAGGATATTGGCCTATCCATACAGAATCATGGTATCAAGTGATACATCAAGCTTGGACTTTACCATCGGAAAGTTATTTAACTGATCATTATATGACACAAGAAAATGTTCCTGTAATAATAGATAAGTGCCTGAATTTCATAAGTACACATGGTTAGTACAGACTTTTCATAATTGTTAAATTTTTTTTTTTTTTTAATTAAAATTAATTATCATAACTTTTTATTAACAATTGCAAATCATTTTTAAAAGAAATACTATAAACTAATACAAACTGCATCAATTCATTTTGGCTTCAGTAGCCTAAAATAGATAAAATTA